ATCCCTCATCATTTTTGTTTCCCTTCTCTGCACCTCTTCCAATTCTAATATATCTTTTTTGACATGAGGCAACAAGAACTGCACACACTATCCAAGGTGTGGGCGTGCCATGGATGTATATATAATGGCATTATACTTTCTATCTTATTATCTATCCCTTTCCTAGTGGTTCCTAACAGTCTCTTAGCCTTTTTTGAATGCGGCAACACATCGCGTGGTTGTCTTCAGGGAACTCTTCACAATGACACCAAGATCACTTGAGTAGTAATAGCTAATTTAGACCCCTCCATTTGGTATGTATAGTTGGGGTTATTTTCTCCAAGTCCATAATTTTATAATTATCAACACTGAATTTTATCTGCCATTTTGTCGTCCAGTCACACAGTTCAGTGAGATCCCTTTGTAACTCTTCGCAGTCAGCTTTGGACTTAACTATCTTGAGTAATTTTGTATCATCTGGAAATTTTGCCACCTCACTATTCACCCCCTTTTTCCAGATCATTTATGAATGTGTTGAACAGCATTAGTCCCATTACAGATTCTTGAGGGACCCTGCTACTTACATTTCTACATTGTGAAAACTGACCATTTATTCCTACTTTTTTTCTATTTTTTAACCAGTTATTGATCCATGAGAGGATCTTCCCTCAAATCCCCTGATTGCTTAGTTTGCTTAAGAGCCTTGCATGAGAGACCTGGTGAGGGATATATTTTTCACTAGTTTTCTTTTTCAAAATGCCTGAAATGTCTTGGCTGAAACTTTTTTTAAAAAGCAGCCTAAGGTCGACACCCAGCATATAAAATTTCAGCCTGAACAGTTAAAATTTGGCAAAGTTCTAAGTAACTGAGAACAGGGTTTTCTAATGCGAAGAGACGGGTAATAATACTAGGTGGCACTGCTGCTAGCCCTGCCGATAGTAGATAGCACATATACCCATAGCATAAACAATTGCTTCACAGTAAATGAAATCCAGAGCTAAACTATTAAAGGCATAGTAAAAATAAATAAATGCAAACAAGAATAATCGGAAAAGATTCCATAGTTGTAAACTATAGATTTTGTGTTGGAGACAAATGTCATCCTCTTCATTGCACACACACTCATGCTACCTATATACACTATGAATCAACATGTTTCTACAATATTTAGTGTACTTGAGTGAATAGTACAGAATAATCATAAAATGTAAGCACATTGTATTTTTGTCTTCCATGTAATGCAAACGAGTGAACAGATTTTGCAAGAATTCGATATTTGAAAATATTAATAACCTGACTCACTCCCTGAACAGATGTCTACAGTAGCTTTATCCTGATTATAAATTAAAATTTGCCTAAATTCATTGTTGGTAGGAAAATGGTAACTACAGACAGCTAAACTAATTAGACCTATAAAATAATTAGAGAGAGTTCTATCTCCTCAGTGTGTGGTGTTGGGATTTTTCATGCAACTAAATCCTGAAATGTACCATAAAAAATGTTGCTCTGATCAGAGCACAAAGGATGTTTGTTTTTTATACCATGTACAAAATGTATAAAACACAAAATATTGTCACTTTGAGAATGACGACAGAGCTTGGCATCCTAATAAGATTATGTGCCAATATTTCTTCTATGCTTAGCGCTATAATTAATAATGTGCATCTCCTGCTTGCATTGTGTACACATATATATTCAAAAATAGTAGGACACAAATGTCAAATGAATATACTGTGTTGCATGTATTTGAACAATTATACAAATAGCTGACTGGCTATGATATATTCCTCCAACACATCAGAAATAACATCTGAGTGACATTCAAACTGTTTATGCTATTAGGTTATCTCTGTATCTATTTATCTTGTTTCAAATACAAGTGAATGTTTGCAGTCACTGACACACACAAGGTGATATATCCTATCAATCCATGTACAGTCCTGAGTGATGTTTGTATTTTTCTTCCAGAGGTTCTTTCTCTTTAGTTTTATGCTTTTATTTATCAGTCTCCATTGTCTGATATAAGAAAAGGACTTGATGGTTCAAGGATAAACTTTAGAATCTGACGTTCAGTCATAAAAAGATTACTATACTGAAAGGAGCTGACAACACAAACAAAAATCAAAGTTAGGATGGGTAATTAAAGTTAATGCTATATCCTTAATTGTAATGAACTGTGACCGCGGGAATGTGCAAACACCATATCAGTCAATGGGTACTCAATCTTCAGATCACCGCCACTAAAACCAGAGGCTTCTGTGAGCAACAGGAGCACTCTTAGGCTGAATCGGCAGGTAGAAATCGACCTCTCGGGGATCCCCGAATCGATGCTCTTACTCCACCAGCGGAGGTGGGAGTAAGTGCCGTCGACGGGAAGCCACAGAGGTCGATTTTGCCGCCGTCCTCACAGCGGGGTAAGTCGGCTGCGATACGTCGAATTCAGCTATGCTATTCACGTAGCTGAATTTGCGTATCTTAAATCGACTCCCCCCTGTAGTGTAGATGTAGCCTTAGTTGTGAAAAAGAGGAAGCTGGTATAGTCAGTGCATCTAATTACTAGAAGGAGACTCTCATAAAATTCTATATTCTAGGTTGGTATATTATACATGGATAGAGGAGCAGCAGAGAGAAAACTTTTTTTGTGTGGGGTGTCACCAAATTCCTGTGGGGTTGTAGGAATCTCTTTTTGGTTTGGGCCTGCATGGATTTTAGACCCCTGAATTTTGCTTTGATTTCTGGGTACAAGTGAACCATTAAAACTAGAAATTCCTGATCTGGGGTTGAAACACTTTATAACCAATGAGTTTTATAATGTTTATACCAAATATAACAACTTGGCAGGTTTGCTCAGAATTCCACTCACGCTCTGGGTTTGTACTAGAATCAAGCGTTTTGTCCTGTTTAGGAGTTGGGTGTGTGTGTGTAAAATTTTTGCACATCTTTAATATTTACCCATTATATACGTGCTCTGTTAGCACTTGGATAAAATGGGATCTGTTTATAAACTGGCCCTCTGAATTTCTTTATTTCTTTGGTTTAAATCAAACCTGTTGTTTCAGAAAAATAGGTTTTTGGAGTTTTAGTTTTGAATTTATCCTACAGTAAGAAAATAGAAATAGTTTGAGCATCCCAGCTAAATATGTAAAATCACTGGTCAAAATCTCCTCTTATTTACTTACCCTGAGCGCAACACAAATGGCTTGAATAGAGGTGTTCAGGATGTAAGGACAGAATTAAACTCCTGGGGCTTGATGCTCAGTTATGCTAAGGTGACTTTACATGACTGGCATTCTCTTTAAGGCCCCATACACTGCTAGAGTGGTAGGAAAGAGCTTTGGTGAGAATTTTAAAGCATATAAAATGGCAAAAAGTATCTGTTGTACCTAGTATTTATGTTCAGTCAAACCAATTCACATTTATTTGGGCAGGAAAATGGTTTTTTTGGTCAACTGTCCTTGTTTTTGAATGTAAAATAGATTTTCAGGCAATATAGGGCACTGTTTGTGCCACTCCTAGCGCAGCGGTGTCCAAAAGCATATCTGTGGCTCATAGGTGCTACTGCAATACACGATACGTCACCATATACAAGACCAAATTTCAAAGAGATCACAAAATGACCTCCACTTGAGCAGGCAAAACTTTATATACACAAGCATTTGGCATGTATATATTTGATCACTGTGACATGAGTGCTAGAAGTTACCAAATGCTATGATCTCCCACCTATCATGGGTGATAGTGCGAAAAAATAAAAGCATGTGCATAATAGACAAATGGAAACCTGGTTTAAAAATTGTCTTGTTATGTATATCTATACTATGATGTGCTTATTTTTGCCAAGAGTGTTTTGTATTTTGGGGGGCCATATATAGCAATTGTTTTTGATTTGCAACTCCCATTGTGTGCTGATAGGTTTTGGGATGGGCCAGTTGATTTGGATAAAATAAGAAGCAACCTAAAACTTGACTCTCAACTTTTCCAAGGAGTAAAAGTTTCAAGAAACTTTCAACCTTTTTTTCCCCATTTTTTTTAATGTATTTTATTGCATTTTTTCTATACCTCTGAAATTCCTACTTCTGTTCGACTGGTAAGGCCTGTACCAAAGGTCACTGAAACTCCAGTCAGAGTTTTTCTGCTTATTTCAGTGACCTTTGGATCTGGCCTTAGAAGTAAAGGACTGAATATCCATTTTCATAGAATCACAGAAATGTAAGTCCGGAAGAGACCTCAGGAAGTCATCAAGTCCAGCCCCATGCATTGTGGCAATGCCAAGTGAACTTAGACCATCCCTGACAGGGGTTTGTCCAGCCTGTTATTAAAAACCTCCAGTGATAGGGATTCCACAATATCCCTTGGAAGCCTATTCCGGAGCTCAATTACCATTATAATAGGAAAGATTTTCCTAATATCTAACCTAAATCTCTCTTGCTGCAGATTATGCCCATTACTTCTTGTCCTACCTTCAGTGGACTTGGAGAACAATTGATCACTGTCCTCTTTAAAACAGCCTTAACATGTCTTCTTTTCTGATGACTAAACTTTCCCAGTTTTTTTAACGTTTCCTGATAGGTCTGGTTTTTCTAAATTTTTTATCATTGTTATCATTTTTGTTTCTCTCCCCTGGACTCTCTCCAGTTTGTCCACATCTTTCCTTAATCATGGTGCCCAGAATTGGACACACTAACTCCAGCTGAGACCTCACCAGTGCCAAGTAGCACAGTACAGGCCTCAGCTGGGCACTACACTTTATGAAAGATGTGGGCAAATGGAAGAGAGTCGCAATATTTGCTGCCCTAATTTGAAGTTTTTAAGAGACTTTGATGTTTTGGATAAAGTGATAAGTATCCAAATGTTTGTGTGCGTTATTGCATCATCTGAATCTTTTCAGGATCACCCATTGCTAGGAGTTGCATGTAGGGACTGAAGGCAGCATCTGGCCCTCAGCACATAGAAATATAGAGCAAAATAGGAAATTAAGCCAACATTATTGGCTTTAATGTTCTTTAATACTTATTTTGCAGTTTAACAATAACGCTCAGAATGTCAGTTGCTTTAATCATCTTGTGCAAGCTAATGTGAGGAACAAGAAGAAGCTGAAAGAGGCAGTCTACAAAATCTCAGCTAAAGGAATCACTGACTACAAGAAAGGCTTTACCTATGCTTTTGAACAGTTGCAAAATGTAAGTATTACCAAGTTTTCCCTCTGTGCTGTTATACTATCGATCCTTGGTAATAGAACTTTAATGTCCAGATGGTCACTTTGAATGCTCCACAAGCAGTAAACAGTGTGATATATTTTATGATGCAATTATGTAGCAAGCAAATGTATCCCATCAGTATGCTTTCCCTTAGTAGAGCTCCACTCAGCTTGATTTGTTAAGATTTGTGAAGGGGAAACTTCTTTGTCACTGTGATGTACTGTTTTTGTTTCACTTTGGGCTTCTTTTTTCAATGGGCTTCTCTCCCAGTTGTCACATGGCTTCAATACTGGCTGCATTGCTGCCAGTTTTCAAAGAAGAAAGTATGTTATTACATCTCAGATTAATATTTCAATTATACCCTGGTTTAGAGTGTCCCTCGGTCATGTTTAATATATCCACCTTTCCAGATTTCATTTATTTTATACATAGTGCATACTTGTCTGGTTGTAAAGAGGTATTAGCTAGCAGAGGGATATTGGGTGGTGGAAAGAGACTGTTCCAAACTATTTTAAACATGGAAAGGAGAAAGGAATCCGCCTCACCAGGGGGGAATGCATTGGCTCCATCTTTTGATTATGTTACCTATTCCCATATTGCACCCACACAGTGTCTGTCTAATTAGGAGTATAGTGAAATAATATTGCCAACTTACTATAATCAGTTTATTTGCTACTGTTTCTTTTAAAAATATTTAATGTACATAATCAAAATACACCTCTACCCCAATATAACGCTGTCCTCAGGAGCCAAAAAATCTTACCGCGTTATAGGTGAAACCGCCTTATATCGAACTTGCTTTGATCCACGGGAGTGCGCAGCCCCGCCCGCCCGCCCCAGAGCACTGCTTTACCGCATTATATCTGAATTCGTGTTATTTCGGGTCACGTTATATCAGGGTAGAGGTGTATGTGTATAGTTCATAATATTAACAACTATGGGACAGCTCTTCAAATGATGTAAATGGACTATGCCAGTTAACACCATCTTATTATCTGGCCTACTAAACAGAATGGGCTGAATTCATTCCTGGTGAAACTTTATTGACTCTTATGATCTCCCTCAATAGAGGTCAGTCTCTTTCTCCCCTCACCAGCTACCTGCTGGACCTAGGCACCTCTCCTGTCACTCTGTATCATGCCATGGGAACAGAGCTGGTTGGAGAATTTCCATCCAACTGAAATTTTGAAGGAAAAAAACAGTATAATATTTGCAAGAATATTTTCTGACCAACTCAGTGTAGGTGGGATAAAGGATTCAATGCCCTCTGCAGCTGATTATATGAAACTTTAAGCAGAAGGTTAAAATAATTATTTAAATCTTGTAGTCCAACTTGAGACCAATGTCACTTCTGTCCCTCTCTGACTGTGGGCATGTTAGAGCAATAACAGGAGAAAGCTAGAAGGAGTTTTGTTTAGAGCTGTAAGTTCCCCAGAGCAGAGAGACACTGGGGGTTATGGTTGGTACAACACCAAGTATATTCTTAGCACTTAAATAATCACTAGGAAATAGAAATAGAAGTTCTAATTTGAAAGCAATGAATACAGCAAAGTCACGAGATGCACTTGTTCTCAAAACTAAATGCAAAGGTAAAGAGAAATAAAATACGAGAAGAAGACAGATCGGCTTTATAATAAATTTCAAGGATGCTAAATATTTAAAAAGGTCGAGGTCTTATAATAATTACATAGGCTGTGGATGACGACCACTTGAACTCACTCTCACACTTAAGCAAGTGTTGCCTTCTTTGTGCCTACAGGAAAATTGCTTAATAGAAATATTGCTGGATGGAAATAAATATTTTAATATCATCTTTGAAATAAATTAAGGCACTCCGCTAGTAATATGGATGTGCTGATTTGTGAGTCAGTGTCATCTACTGTTCTTCTACGTTATATTTGCAAAGAAATCTTTACTCAGTGTTCTTTAGATTTGGTGGATCAATTAATTTTTGCCCTATTGCAATGAATACTATAGAAGGAATTGTTCTGTAAATCACTTTGTGGCCATTTGTGATTCCAAATAGGAGGCTTTTGCATTGCTTTGCTTTTTCCTTCCCCAATGACATGAAAACTCATTGTGCAAGATTCATTCATAGAGTTTCATGCACCAAGCTATATTCCAGACATACAGGTAAGGGAACTCAGTTTTTAAGAGTGTGATAATTATTTCAAAGTAAAGCAATTTTATCCTCAAAATGAATGTGGTAGCACCCTTCATTTTTTTAAAAAAAAGATGGCTAGCTACTTGCTTGCTTAGTTGAAGTTTAAAAATATAAAATAAAGAATGGAAGATACAAGTAGCATCCTAAGAGGGGGGTCAGAAAGGATTTTTAAAATAGAGAGACATCCTGAAAATCATAAGGGTTTCTGATGTATTTTAGCACATTTTCATCTTCATCTGAGACATGATATTACGTCTTGTTAGCTGGTAGCATGAATTCTTTAATAGACGAATCTCTGACAAGATGGATCAAATCCTACACTGAACATGAATAAAAGTTGTAAATTAAACTTGTGTGTAAGTTAATGATGTTTTGACTTAGTTATAAATCTCTGACATGATGGGTGGCCAAACCATCACAGTGGGCTGGACTGTGAATTTTACAGCCAGCCCTGGCTGTGTAAGAGAATCTGTGCCTTCCCTGCTGGCTCCTTGGGGTAGGACAGAGACTGGAAATATGCTTGTTTTTAAGGGAACCCATATCAGATTCCCCCCACCCCTTGTACAGACTCATACATTTGTGAGAGTGGAGCCTCCCACTCAGAGATTGTGGGGAGGGACAGCAGAGATTAAATAGCACCCCCTGACAACACGTATTCAGTCAGACACAAGGTGCACGAGTCTGCACACAGGCAGAAGAGAGTCTTCTTTTTCCCTATGCTGCTGGGAGGTTAAGTGGGCTGTGCTTAGGGTTGCCAGGCATCCAGTTTTCGACCGGAATGCCCGGTTGAAAAGGAACTCTTGCAGCTAGTTAAGACCGGTTGGCGGTGAAGTTGGGGCTCAGGGCTAAGGCAGGCTCCCTACCTGCCCTGGCTCCATGCTGCTCCCGGAAACAGACACCAGGTCTCTGCATTCCCTAGGCGCTGGGGCAGCTAGGGATTGGGAGGCTCTGCGCACTGCCCGTGCCCTCAGTATCAGCTCTGCAGCTCCCACTGGCCGGGAACTGTGACCAATGGTAGCTGCGGGGGGGGGGTGTGTGGCATCTGTGGGCGCAAAAGCAGTGCGCAGAGCTGCCTGGCCGCCCATGCGCCTAGAGGCCACAGGGACCTGGCGGACCTTTCCTTGGAGCTGCGGTAAGCACTGCCGGGACCCTGCACACCCCGAAACCCTCATCCCCAGCCCCACTCCCAGCCAGATCCCTCACCCACCCACACTCCAACCCCCTGCCCCAGCCCAGAGTCCCCTCCCGCACTCCAAATCCCTCATCCCCGGCCCCACCCGAGAGCCTACACCCCCAGCCGGAGCCCTCTCCCCACACACCCCAAACCCCTGCTCCAGCCCGGTGAAAGTGAGTGAAGGTAGGGAGAGTGAGCGACGTAGGGAGGGGGCATGGAGCGAGCAGGGTTAGGGCCTCAGAGAAAGGAAGGGAATGGGCATGGCTTTGGAGAAGAGGCAAGGGTGTTCGGTTTTGTGTGATTAGAAAGTTGCAACCCTAGCTGTGCTATAATATATCCCGATGTAATTTACAGGTAAGAAATATTGCATAAACTTGCTCACTAACACAGTGTTCATAAAGATAAACCCAGAGGGAACAGGAAAGAAAGAGGAAAAGCTCCTCTTGTAGTTGCTTAGAACACCATACAAAGGGACTCTAGGGAAACAGGAAGGTATGGTAGTACAGAATAACACTACATCACAATGCAGGAGACTACTGTTAATATGAAGCAAATAGCCATATTGCAAAATGTAATATATATCTAAATATAGATATGAACAATATATCGCCATTATTGCAAAATGTATAGTTACATATAAACTAGAACATCTAGTTATATTTAAACTAAACAGAATGTACTCATAATATGATTCTTTTATTATAGCAATATATTTGATAAAGTATGCAGCTAATTATATATTCTGGAGGAAATTCTACTCTAAGTGGCATTGGTGTTAATGCAGAGTCTGATGTAAAATATAAAGCTTTAATATGGCTGTGGTATGAAACATACATTTTCAATACATGTATTGTATTTAAATAATACACCTAGGCACCAGTTTCATACCACTTCTTTACCTTAGGAGACCGTAGGTTGTCCTGCAGCCACTGTGGGGGACACACTTATTTTTACTGGCAGAACCCCCTTTTCCATCACCCTTTCAGCAAGAGAGTGCAGTTAGACCTCCTTTGCCGTAGTGAAAGTACCAAAGCTGTACCTCAAGATGCATACATGGCAAAATACAGCAACCAGCCAATTCTAATATAATCACCATCTTCCCTTCCCGCTCCTTCTCCCCATGGTTTCAACCACTCATTACACCCTGATCTGGTAAAGATTTCTATTGATGAGATTGCAAGTGACAATGGCAGGGGACCATCTTTTAATCTATGTTTGTATATTGTTGGGTCTCCAGTCCTGATTGGCTAATAAAAATCTAAGTTTCCATTACATCTATCACTTTTATCTAAGCACCATAGTACATGTGCTAATAGTCCCACTGTAAGCTCTTTTGGGATAGAGACAGTAAAATATTGTCCACTCTTATGACGTTATATAGATGCACACTAGATGTCTAACTTAAACTACAAAGTAAGTCAGTACAGATGTTGGCCCAGCAGAACAAGGACCAAATTTGCTTTACCTTACTTGTGTAGGTTGTCCTTTTAAATCAGTGGAACACTTTGTGAAAGTAAGGTGGCCAGGATTTGGGCCTCCAGTCAATTATTTTTGTGGTGCCCTTATGAATTTATTTTGGAACGTCTATTAAATCATTAAACAGGTAGGTGTTTTTCAATATTTAAAAAATACCTGTTCTAGTTTTATTACTTTTTTTAATATAAAAGAGCAGCAGCCCAAAGCAATGTATTGTACATAATATTTTACAAGCAAAAGTGATCCTGCAGTTTTTATTTCCAAATGAAACTTACAGTGCTGACAGGAGTGATATTAATGCAATGATTTCAAATTTCTTCATTCGTCATTACTGGTAAGAAAATTCATAAGGCTCAGTTCTGCCCTTCGTTAGACAGAGGTGCCTCTTGAAAACTGAGCTTCTGATGTCAAAAGGTCGTAAAGAATTAGTTTTAGTAAAAATGCAGTTATAGCAAGAAAAGAATTTTGATTTATTTTCTTAATACCAGAATTTGGTGAGTGTACTATAGAATTATATAATAAAGTAGCTGTATTAGTGCTCATCAATTAACCAGTGAGGACTAGATTGTTACATTATGGTTTCTTCTCTATTAGGGTCATTGCATAGCTTAAGCACCCCAGGAACATACCGCTGGATGATTTGTGATGCAGAGGGTCAGAATTTCTCCTCACTTCTCCCTTGTTTTCGTTGTAGAGAAAGTTACTTCACCTTTTCTCATGAGCAGCTTGCTTCTCCCAGTTGCTCTGCCAGCTACATTGGCTACTGAATTACGGATCTGAGACAGGGCTCCTCCCACTCCCATACCCTCCCACCCTGTTTACAGAGAGGAATCTGGGGTGCGCAGCACCTCCCCTCCACGGGTGTTGCAATTGACTCAGAGGAGCAGGGGTTTTCTTGTTCCTCCAAGTAGCCAAGTAACCTTGGTGAAAACCTACCTCACTTTGTGTAAGCCTGCAAAACATGTGCTTTGAGTGTAAAAGCAACCAAAAAAAATAAAATAAAAAAGTCAGCAAAAATAAATGAAGAGGAAACCTGAGCTGATTCTGAGGAAATGTAACAAAAACAAAACAAAACAAATCTCTTACAGCACTGAGTTTGTAAGCCTAAAACCTAAGAGATGGTAAGTTCACTGGGAGCTGAGTGGTAATTTATTTACCTCAGATCTTCAGTTTAAGGACCAAATTAGTGGCCAGAGAGTTTGACTGTCTCAGCACTTGGGATCCCAACTTGAGACACTCAGGGTGTCTGAGATTGCACTCCTATGAGTTGAAGCATCAGTGGCCACTTCTGGAAATTTGGCTTCTGATTTCCAGAGCGTGGGAGGAAGGAGGGAGTCTGGTCGAGTAAAACTGAAGGAGAGAGTGAAAATGTCCTCTTTTTTAAATTGCATGTGCAAGATATCCACTGTCTGAGTCACATTCAGGCATCCAATGAATAGAATTTGGCAGCAGGATTTGATCTGAATGTTCTGTTTTAACAAATATGCAATTCACCTCCACTCCAAACAACCCTATTCCATGCAGGTCCCTTATGCTTCTTTGGGTGGAACATACCTGATTACCACAATGTTGCTTTTGGTCAGATCTGAGGTGTACCATAATTTGGCTCTTAAAGGGTGAAGGAAAGTTTCTTTCAGAACTGATGCACTAATAATACTAATATCTTGGTGACAAAAAGCAGGATATATACTTAGAAATACTATATTGGACACAGACTTATTGAGTGAAATCCTAGCTCCACTGAGGTCAGCAGAAGCTTTGACATTCTCCATTGTTGGGTCCTAGAGCCTCCCCCCAGCCCAAGCTGGAAGATCTACACTGCTGTTTTGTAGCCCCTCAGCCCAAGCCCCACGAACTCCAGTCAGCTGACCAGGGCCAGCCAGGGAGGCTGTTTTATTGAAGTGTAAACATATCCAGTGAGGTCAGGTTTTAACCCATTAATACTTAAATAATGTGCTTTCCTCTGCATAATGCATAAAAATGAGGCATTCCTTGCCCTTCAGAGCTGAACTATGTTTCTGGGAACTATATTACACTTCTGCATTTTTTTTTGAGAGCCAGAACTAAAGGCATACTTCTCTTTGAATCTCTTACAGCACAGTGGCTCTAGAGCTAATTGCAATAAAATCATTATGTTGTTTACTGATGGTGGTGAAGAAAGAGCACAAGAGATTTTCCACAGATACAACAAAGACAAAAAAGTAAGTGGCATTTACAAGGCTTTTGTATGAAGGTATGAAGATACCTAATGGGACATTTAGGTGGTTTCTGGGAAAAAAACATGTGTTTTCATAAGTGTTCAAAATAACTGGTATCTTTGAGATGCAAGTATTGAATAATACACCATTGGACGTTTTCCCAGTCAACAATATCAGTATGAAAATGTGATGGAATTATTAAATAATATTTTGCATTCATACACTGCCTACCACCCGTGGATCTCAAAGCTTTTACTCCTAGGAGAATTCTGCCCCAATACATAAAAAATTCTGCACCAAAAAGATTAAAAATCCTGCGCACAATATTTTAAAAGTCTATAAAATTCTGCATATCTTATTTGTCAAAATAGCACAATATAAACACACCAGTTTCAATTATTTTGGTAATTTATTTCTAAATATCTGTCAACAAGTATGTAACTATACAGACAAAAAAGATTCAGGAAATGTTTTTTGACAAATAGTTCCCTTACTAGGCATATTCATACAGAACTCTAAGGAATAATTCATTTAATCTACAATACAGAAATGTATTTCAGAAGCAGTGCACAGGCTTTGGGAACCCGGAGGAACAAGAGGAGCTGAGGGAAGTAATTTCTGGGAAGGAGCCTGGGAATGAACCTGGAGGGTTGTTGGGTGTGGGTGGGAGAAGATTGGAACAGTTTTTTTGTAGGGGAGGGACTGCTGGGGAGCCTCCCCCATGTAGATCCTGGCTGACCCTAGTCTTTCCCAATCAGTCAGACACATCTGCCCCTGTCCCCATGTGTCCCTGCACCCCCACTCAGCCACCCGCACCTCGCAGCGTCCCTCCACCCCCACTCCCATTCAGCACCTGTCCTAGATCGTCCCCCCACGACCCCTTCTGAACTCCAGTCCATGTGACCCTCCAAGCAGCCCCATGTGACCATTTTGTTTTTCCTGGCCCTGGAGGCAGGGCACTATGAGGGACGCAACCTCTGCTCTCTCCCTGTCGACTGCTGACTGCTATGGCTAGTGAGTGGTGAGCCTGCTGCCTCTGCTCTGGTGCCACGGAAGCCCTTGGTGGGCAAAAGGCATAATAGCAGAGCCTCTCCAGCAGAATGTATTTTCTGCAGAGGAAAAAAAAATCTGCAAGACACATGAATTCTGCACATGCGCAGTGGCACAGAATTCTCCCAGGAGTACTCTTTGTAAACCATAATGCATTAAGCTTTCCTGTAACTCCAGTGCTATAGGTAGCTATTATCCCTGTACTACAAATGAAGAACATGAGATACAGGAAGATTTAGTGACTTGCTGAAGGCCACACAAGTCACGGCTGTGCATGTGGGGACACACACACTTGCACAATCTCTCCCCTTTTTCCCCACTGGCATTCCTGTGTTAAGCAGTGAGCCATTCGTTTTCATGACTGTATGTAACATCCATACAAAACAGACAACAAATTAAGAGAGTTTTGTACATGAACATTTATTTGCCTAAAGCTTTCAGGATCACAGGTTTGCAGGGCTATAGTTCTGGATAACAGTTCCCAATATATGCCATTTCACTACTCTTCTCTGTTTTGTTTATCTCTGTTGATATGTACGCCTCCACAGCTGATATTTTCTTTGTAATAGCAATTAATGGGTTTTTTTTAATCTAGCAGATATAGACATAAGTAGATAGCTAGAAACTGAAGCTACATAAATTCAGACTAGAAATAAGGTGAATATTTTTAACAGTAAAAAACTGGAACAGCTTACCTAGGGATGTGGTAGATTCTCTGTCACCTGAACTCTTTAAATCAAGATTAGAGGTCTTTCTAAAAGATGTGCTATAGTTCAACCAGGAGTTATGGACCCAATGCAGAAATCACTGTCTCAAATTCTATGAGTTATGTTATTCGGGTCATGCCGAATCCTCACTCAATATTTTTCAATGTAAGTTTCTTCATAATTAAGATAGTTTTAACTCTCCCAATGTCTCCTGATGGATCTATAGTCAGTGTAGTGCAAGTAGCTAGGAATTAGGTCCCCAACTCAGCAAGATGCTTGGTATCTTTAGCACATGAACAGTCCCTTTGACTTCAGTGGAACTATTCATGTGCTGAAAGCTGGGCATGTACCTTGCTGAATTGGGGCCCAGGAATCCAGGGCTTGTTTCTGTCTCTGATGATGACTCACTGTGTGACCCTGAACAAGTTCCTTCACTTGTTTTCGGCCTTGCTCTCAATCTGCAATATGGATATAAAGCTTCCCTCACAGTGGTGTCATGAGCTTTAGTTAATCTTTGTGTATTATTTTGAGACTTTTGAATGAAAGGTAGTCCATAAGTACCAAGTATTTTTTAAAACTGGTAATTAACAATAAGCTACATTGCACTTACAGCTGGAGTTGTAGCTACTGAATTCTAAGGCATACTGACTGTGCAGCCTGCTCAAATTATACATGGAAATTTCATGCTATCCTACCTCTTTTCTCAGATTAACAGCCGTATTAGTCTGTATCCGC